TTTAAACATTCCAGGTGATTCTAATATGTAACCTGGGCTGAGAAATAATGGTTTAGGCCCAGATTGAGAATTTTGTGCTCTGGACTCAGCATCTGTGTGATCCAGAACAAATGTTCTCAGACATGGGGAACACGCTGGAAATGCAGACTCCTTGGCTTCAACGCAGACATTCCGATTCGGTAGGTTTGGGGTGGGCACCAGGAATCTGAATTTTTAACAAGTATATCCCAGGTGATTCTGGTAAAAGTGATAGAAGACCTTCTGGGCTTCAAAACAAACAAAAGCGGGGCACTTGGGTGGCTCAGTCCGTTAAGCGCCGGACTTCGGCTCAGACCACGATCTCACAGCTCTCGAGTTCGAGCCCCGCATCAGGCCCTGTGCTGACAGCTCAGAGCCTGGAGCCTGTTTCAGATTCTGTGTCTCCCTTTCTCTCTCTGCCCCTCCCCTGCTTGCACTCTCTCTCTCTCTCTCTCTCAAAAATAAACACTAAAATTTCAAAACAAAACCTTCTAACAAAGAATCGTACTTTTTACAAGGTACATATAGTAAAAGGCTTGGCATACTTCTAGTTAGGACAGTCCCTTAAAAAAAAGCCATCAGCAATATTTCTATCAAGAAACCTAATACAGGAAAGTATTTAGACTTTAAGAAGTTACTCCTGCAGAGGTTAAACAACACTGACATAGAATGACACAGGAGGGAAAATTTTTGTTTTATTTTATTTTATCTTATTTTATTTTACTTATTTAATTCACTATTCAAGTGCATAATTTAAGGCTACTAGAGCCAGCTGCACCCAGAATAGCAGTGTGACAGGGAAGGAGTTGCTACTCACCAGACTGCTGCCCTCTGGCATGAAGAAAATGGCTTCCTTCTTGCTGCTACTCAAAGTCCGCTGGCCTTCTCCTTTTCAGACTTTCTTCCCTCAACTTCAGAAATCTAAGAAGCTAAGGAAGAAAGCAACACTCCTATGGTCTCATGGGAAAGTTGTTTTCAAATGCTTTGAAATGGATGAGGAGTAAGTTAGAAACTCATTTCTTGGGAAAGTCTTCCTTCAGAATCGCTCCATGCTCCCTGAGTCCTTTTTGGGAAAAAAAAAAAATTAAAAGAAAAATTCTTTAATGATGACTCCCCAGGACATTCCCTTCGACCAAGCTCCCGTGAGGTTCAAAAGATTTAAGATCAGTGAACATGACAAGGCACACATATTCACACCGTAGACGGCAAATAAATGGAAGAGCCGTCCACAATGATCGAGCCACGTTTCTCCTTCCTTCCCTCATTCTTAGATAGAGATAAACCCCAAGGCCAAAGAGTCGACATGGAGAAGAGGAAGTGGAGACCTAACAAAAGTCGAATAGGAAGCCACGTAGCTCTGGTACCTAGAGGAATTCTGGGCCCCTGGGCTCCTGAGACGTGGAGGGCTGGAGGGCCAGACTCTTCAGCCGGTTGCCTTTTGCTCACGAGGTCCCTCTGAGGTGGCCAGACCAGAAGGTAGACCAGGGCAAGAGGAGAGGAAGCCAGAGGTGTGCCGCTCAGAATGGGCTCCTGAACTCTCAGATCTGTCTCACGCGTGCTGCCCCTCTCCCCAGAATAGCAAAAGATAGAAACTTGGAAGATATTCTGTGGCAGAATCTAAATTACGCATCTATCTGGACTCCCCTCGTGCTGTCTCTGAGACACTTCGATTCAGGAGGCAACCATTGGATTTCATGGGTGAGTATTTAGAAAGGACGCATTTGAATCACAGCTACTAGATGTGTGTTCAATGTCCAAGCACTGGCCAAAGCTCAGGAAGTCAAGGCAGGAATGAGAATTACGTTCTCTTCACTTACATTTTGCCTGGTCTAATTATCCCCAACATCTTGAAAAGAAAATTAAGAAAAAAATAATGTTTCTGCTTCATTCCTTCTCACCAGCAGAACCCCACTCATCATTCTTCCTACGTGAGAAGTTACAGCATTTGGCAGAGGCTCCGAAAGAGACTTTGGAGCATCATTCATTTTCTAAGAAAGAGAACCTGAGATAATAGAAAATATGTATATTGGCCTCTGCTCCTGGATCCCGGCACAGAGCTCCTAAAACCCTTGTAATTTCCTAAGTGATAAAAGCGCCGGGAGTATCTTTTGTTCTAATGAGGTGACTTTGGGTGGGCCCCTGGATGGTTCCTGAATGGCGGCTGGTCACTGGAAAGACCACGCCATGATTAGGAGCTTGGTATTTTCAGTCCTGTCCCCCATCCTTCAGAGAGGGAGGGGGGCTGGAGATGGAGTTAATAAATGGATTATGCATACATGAGGAAGCCTCCATAAAATCTCAGTATGGGCTTCAGAGAGCTTCCAGAATGGAGAACATATCCCCACGTGGAGGGTGACACATCCCAACTTCACGAGGACAGAGCCTCCTGCACTCGGGTCCCTCCCAGACCCCCCCCCCCCCACACACACATATCTCTTTAGCCGGTTGGTCATCTGTGTTCTTTATCATACGCTTTAATAAACTGGTGACCATTAAGTAAGTGTTTCCCTGACTTTTGTGAGCCATGCTAGAGGATTCATCAAACCCGAGGAGGGGATCTCGGGAACCCCTGGTGCGGGCTGGAGTAGTAACCAAAGGGGAAGAGCAGAGCACTCCTGAGCTGGTAGGAGAAGCCACTGCCACCTGTGGCCTGAAGGGGCTGGAGGGGAAAGTGTCCCAGCTCTAAGACGGGACTGCCCAACAGGAGCTGTGGCTTGACAGAGACACTCAAGGCTGGTCATGGAAGGGGCCAGGGGGCTCAATCACTCCCTCTCCTTTCACGCCCCAGTCTCCTTCCAGAATCTATTGGCCAAAACTCCACCGGAAGCCAGAGGGCAAGGGCTTGGCTTCCCAGAGCAGAGAGCAGGTAGGATTCATCCTTATCCTCAGGGACAAATGGTGGTGGGTTCTCCTTGACAGAAGGAATGGACCCTCCTTTACCGGACTATGAGGAGAGAAAGCTGTCTGAGGAGAGATGGGAGATGTTGGTGGATGGTGGGTGGAGAGCTGAAGTTCTAGAATGAAGGTTATGATTTTTATTTTCTCAGTAAAGTTCATGGAGCTCACAAGTTAGGAGGCTGAGAGCATCGTAGCGGGGCTAAGAAATCAGGGAAAGTTCGGGATCATCTTGGGTTAGCCACTAAGAACTTATATAAAAGATCTTCGGCCAATGCTTAGGGTCTTAATGATGTTAGAGACTATAACCCCAATTTACATGGAGCTTTTGATGTTCAGCAGGCTGGAGACATAGGTAGAGATATTGAATGATGGGCTAGATGGGGAAATGCCTAAACAGAAAGAAGCTGACAGCAGAAGGTAGAAAAGTGAAGAACTTTGAGATTTGAGTGGTACGGTGGGTAATGGGGGTGGTTGCCCAACCATGCAAATGTGCTTAATGCCACTGAATTATAGACTCCAGAAAGGTTAAAATGGTACATTTTCTATATACTTTACCACAATTTTTGTTTAAAAACTTAAAAAAAGTCATGGATACACTATTTGGCAACCATCGTGGTAATAAATGATTTAGGCACCAATGGATACTCACACTAGTGGGTGTGAGTGTGGAAGAACAGGAAATTTAGAGTATCAAAAATACCTCCCTTCAAGGAATTTAGAAGGAAAACAGTGACTTTAGAGTGGAAAAACCAGGCAGACGGCATCTTAACCAAGTGGTCAGGTTCATTTCACCATTATTGGGAGTAATGGACCCTCTGGGCCTCCTGACAGCTGCACCGAGAAGAACACAACAGAACTTCATTTCAGCCGTGCTCCTGACAAAAATGCATAGCCTAAATTTAATGACGACGAAATATCAAGATAAAAACCATCACAATGAAAAAGGAAATTCCCACTTCAACTGGCTCACAACAAGGAACATTTTTCTTTCGCCGGGAGGTAGAATGGCCCCTGGCTTAGGTAATCTAGCATTTTTAAATTTGTTTTTGTCTCTTGACATTTTTCATTCTGCCATCCTTTGCCTGTTTAGCTCCCCTAGGCCTGGCAAGAGTGGCTGTGGTTCCAGAAACAGCAACAGGCAATGGAGACAAGGAGCTCTCTCTTCACATATTTATCATTTTTTATCAGAGGAGCCCAACATAGTTACCCTCCTGGGTCTTTAGCCCAAACTGGGTCACATGCAAACCCCCAACAAATCTCTGTCAAGGGGAAAGGGGTTCCCTGGACTATTCAGCAAATCTGTGGGTTCCATGTGTGGAAGGGTGGCCACCAAACCAAAGTGGGGGTCTTCAGCAAGGAAGACACGGGAATGGCTATTTCAGGATGAACAGTGGACATCCAGGGTCAAGGCCAGCTGCAACTTAGAATGTCAGATGATTGGGGCACCTGGATGGCTCAGCCAGTTGAGCGTCTGACTCTTGATTTCGGCTCAGGTCATCATTTCACAGTTTGTGAGATTAAGCCCTATGTTGGGCTCTGTGCTGACAGGTCAGAGCCTGGATGGAGCCTGCTTGGGATTCTCCCTCTCCTGTCTCTGCCCCTCCCCTGCTTGCTCTCTTTCTCTCTCTCAAAAATAATAAATAAACTTAAAAAAAAAAAAAAGAATAGTAGACAATTCATCCATCAGGTAGGGGACCAAGGGTCACCATGGGGGTTACGTTTTGGGGGAGGAAACTGTAAATCTGGAGGTCGGTAAGCAGCAGCAGGAAAGACACATGAATGATGCTATGAGCAGAAGATACGGACCAAAAAGAGGCTCCTTTTGTTTGGTTAAAATGGACAAATAAGGGTACGAAAGTGGTACCAGGCACAGCAACACGAGGTGTATAAAAAGAATCCTCTAACCCCCCTTTTTTGTAAAAACTAACATCTTCAAGGTTAGTGCATAGGAAAGGCAAATGAGACAGTACATACTCAAATAATGCGACTTGGATGGGCAAGGGAAAATAAGTTAGTTTTTCCAGAAGAAAATGGATGGACGATGTCTTGTATGTACTATTACCTTTTTTTCTTCTTTTATGTAAAAAAAAAAACAAAAAACAAGACATTCGCTGGGATTCACAACGTCCCTGTCTAGCCTAGTATAGTGCTTTATAACCCCAAATCTCAAGAAACTTAATACCATGCTTGCCTACATGTAAGACCAATTAGTCTTTTTCAGTCTTAAACACACAGGAAATACAACTGTTCATTTCCAAAAGTTATTGCACACAGATTTCACAAAATCTATTTAATTGTGTCATGGAACACTTAAGAGACCTCATTGTAGCATCTCATGCTGGCAGTGATCAATAAAAATGAACAATTCCTAGATTCAATTTGCAGAAAACTCAATACAATACATTTTACAGAAGGGATCTCTTTGTTATGTCTACATTCTAGGCATAGTGTTGTCCTGAAAGCTGATCTTTAGGGGAATCAAATTCTTTTGATTTACCAGTAGAGAAAAACATTTTTGAACAGATTCTAATTTCCTAGCTAGTGGGACTTGTTGCTTGGGATTTAAATACATCGGCGCATTTTTATACATCAATTAAACCCCTTCTATTCTATGAACTCTAGCGACTTCATCGCAAGAAAATGTTTTTATCTTTTCATACACTTTGTGGTTTATTCAGTAACTATGTATCACATGGCAAGAGTTCTGGAAGGAACCAAGGACACAGTGGTCAATGATACAAACCATTGCTGACTAACAATACATGACATGTATCCAGTTGCGTATACCAGGACTGTGCCAAGTGAGCTACATCTGGGTTTTCTGTTTGTGTGTTTTCTGGGGTTGTTTTTGTTTTTGTTTTTGTTTTTCTCAAAGAGGTCACGTGAGTTGCCCAAGCTATCATAGACAAGAAGCGAAAGAGGCAACATTCAAACCCAGTTTGGTTGCCTCTGGAACCCAAGCGCTTAACTACAGTGCTCTAATGCTTCTGGTAGATCATATACGTTAAGAAACTACAAATGTGACAAAGGAAACCTACGGCAGCCCAACTTGCAAGGGGACAGAGAAGACCAAAACGGATGTGCCATTTTAGCTGGACAAGAGTCGTCCAAGGAAAGCAAGAAGAATTGAGGGCATTGTACAGTTAAGCAGAGGAGAAAGGGGGGGCAAGGTGCAGAGAAACTAAAAGAAACAAAAAACCTTGTATGGCTACAAACAAGTGGTGGGTGGAGACAGATCCCTGTCAACAACACAGGACTTTATCTAAATGCAGAGGCACCTCATCTTAGCACCTCAGCGTGGCTTTCTCTAGTCTTCCATTTTTGTGCGTATTTGCCCGTAGTTTTCACAGAACAGTTCAATTTCTTATCAGTCGAATACGAATACATTTAGTTTTCTCCCATTTTTCGTAAATTAGAATGATACAGGACTTGGGTTACCGGACTACGTTTCGAAGAAAATGATTTCAAATGACGACGACTTCCGCTTCTTGATCAGGGTCCTTCACGGTGAAGAGATGTTTTGGCTGGTTTTGCAAAATCATTGGCGTAAGGTGGGGATCCTCGGATCTCCAGCCATCTGAAAGGCACAGACCTTATCATAAGTGGATACCCCCTGCTTTATACACACACTCGGACAACTGGTTGGCAGGTTGGGGCCCAGCTCCCGGCAGTGGCATCTAGGACAGAAGAGTCCACCCAAGGAACCAGGCTTTGCGGCTCAGAGTCAAGGCCTTCGCTTGCAAGAGGCAAGTCCTTGAAGGCACTTGCTTCTAAGAGACACCTGTTACGCCAAAATTAAAGTGATAGCGTGATGCTTTCCTGGTATATTGACACCGTTCCCCTAATGGGCCGACTTTACGAGGTGGCGAATGGATTTTCAAGCTCTGAATGGCACCTGGCTTGTGAGGAGTGTTCAACAGGTGTTGGCTGCTGCTATTAAATCAGGACCCTCACGGATGTACCACATTTAAAATTACTCCTTGCGAGCCTTGTCAGGTTGCTAGGGAAGATTCCCCAAGGCCTTGGGAGGGGGCCTGGCATGACAAGGGAAGGTCCAGCTGCTGGGTAAGGCGGTGCTCGCTGAACTGAAGGGGGCCAGTTATGAATGAGTCTCATTAGGGGAGGTTGACATGCCTGGAGCCCAGGCCACGCTGCGGGGGATCCGTGACGAAGAGCTTAACGCTATGATGGCACTTGACAGGTCTCGTTAGCTGGTTATAAATGATAAGACTAGCAATTTTTACTGCCTCTGCTTCACCTCAGTCCTGGAGGTTATCGCTTTTAGATGCCTTTCCTCCTCCCGACTGACACACAGAGCTCCACACAGACCCCAAGCCCACAGTTGTCATCTTAATTAACTTAATGCTTCGTTCCCTGGGGAGACAGACTCACTCCAGCCATCCTGCTTCCGGGATTTGGTGAGGTTCTTATGGTTCACAATTTCTAAACAGTCGTGCACTGTCACATAATGAATACTTACCCTCGGAAGGCTTGGTGGTAATCTTCTCACCTCAGGTCCTCAATGCAATTCTGGATGCCACTATGCACCCCAACTAAGGGAGACGTGAAGAATGTTGATGTTTCCCAGGTTCTGCAACACTAACTTAGGTGTGGAGATATTCTAACATAGGCGACTATCCCATGGGTTCCCGAATATCCAGCAGTAAAAAGATGGTTTAACAACGTAAAGGGTGTATTTGTTGTGGAATATTATGCTTATATCAGAAAGGATGAGTTAGGTCTATATCTGTTCATTTGGAGTGGTGTTCAAGGTATGTTTTTGCTTTTTTTTTTAAGGTTTTTAAAAAATGTTTATTTATTTTTGAGAGAGAGAGAGGAGAGTGAGTGGTGAGGGGCAGAGAGAGAGGGAGACACAGAATCCGAAGCGGCCTCCAGGCTCTGAGCTATCAGCACAGAGCCCGACGTGGGGCTCGAACTCACAAACTGCGAGATCGTCACCTGAGCTGAAGTTGGACGCTTAACCGACTGAGCCCCCCCGGAGCCCCTGTTTTTTTCTTTTTAAAGCAGGTTTCAAGACCATGTGTATAATTGGATTTTATTTTTGCAAAAACAACACACACACACACACACACACACACACACACACACACCCCAGAGGACAACATTCCCATCTAGTGCACATCCATTTGAATATGTCTGGGCATCTATGAGGAAGGAGGGGAAGGTGTTCACTGCACAAGAGGAAGCTGACAACACACACCTCAGAGGCTCCCAGAGGGGGAGGCATGAGGGGGATCCTTTTAATTTCTTTATATGCCTTTGGACGAATTCAGTCATTACAAAGAACATGCTTTACTTTTGTAGTTCAGAAATCTATTAAATAGGATTTAAACAGGAAAAATTGCTCCAACCCAAAATAAAAAAAAGTTTCCCTAGAGACTTCTATTTGGCCATTACACCTCCACTATAAGGTGAAAAATCATCTCAGAAAGGAGGGGCCGGACTCTAAACCGTCTGTTGCTGTGTGTGTATTTCCTGATTCTTGAAAAGTGGCCTAACATGGCCTGGCCTCCTATCGGGTGTCTCCAGCTCCGAGGGCAGGGCCTCCTTTCCAGGGCCTGCTTTGTTAGGTCTTTCTTTCCCTGGCTCCCCTTCCCCTGATGGCTGCCTCGTCACTCACCCCGCATCTCTCAGTGGCTATTGATCGTTAACGTTGACTGCCTCCAAGCATCTGGGTCCTGACTTGAGAATTGGGCTTTGATTCCCGCCTGGCTCAGTTGAACCCAGGTCAGAGCTGCGCCAGATTATGTGCCTTAGTTTACACGAAGCCATCTCCTCCCCTCCATGGCCTAAACTGCAAGACGAGCCTGGATCTTGAGCCCCGTCACGGACTATGAGTTGACTCAGGGGCAGCAGGAGATCATGACAGAAGGGTCCAGGACGTGGATCTCCTTTGAGCGGAAGAGAAATAAATTCCCAACGTCTGGAAGTTCTGTCACATGCAGACAACGCATCCTAAAACCCATATACCGAGGTTTCAAATTCTGCAGTGATTGATTGCTTATTTACTCACTGTGCACGTTTTTAATTAGCAGGTAGATGTGAAGCATCTATTATGTGGCCAAGCATTGCCCTATGCCCCGAAGGACACAAAGAAAGTAGAAAGAGTCACAGTCCTGAAGAGGTTTATATTCTACCTAGGCAGCTAAGATCAAACTAAGGAGACGACGAGAGGGCGGGGAAAGCTGGCTTCGTCTTTAATTAATTTATGTGACAGTGGTTGAAAGTCCAAGAGGAGAGGAGAGGAATGGAAGTCTGGGAGAATGACAGACAGTAGGCTCCGTTTTGTAAGAATGGATTTCTTTCAGTGAGGAGCGCCTATGAGTTCTGTTGTAAAATGTTGTTGTTAAATGAGTTAAATGATTTCTCTAGAGATCCATTATTCCTCATTTGGCACTTTAGGTTAGGCTTTTGAAATAAACCGAGAAATGCCGGAATAATAAATCATTAGCAGAACGCAGAACTATTGTTCATGCGAGGAGAGGTGACTCAAGATGGTTATTGTACAGAAGGTGTCTTTTTTTTTTTTTTTTGGTTAGTCCTTGTGAGTCTGATAACATGCTTCCGTTTCTCAACAGGAATGTGAGGGGGACTGGAAAAGCACAGCCTTCTTGGGCTCCACTGCTGGTGCCCACCTTGGACTGCCAGGTCACCGTCATTGATATTGTTCTTGATCTGCTTGATATTACTAAAACCCCAACTTTCGTCCTGCCCCTGACCTTTCTGTACAGAAGCATAGCTTTATAAATCATGGCAGCTCAGATTTATAAATTTCTAGCCATCAGGGGCACATGGGTGGCTCAGTCCGTTAAGTGTCCAACTTCTGATGTCAGCTCAGGTCACGATCTTGTGGTTCGTGAGTTCCAGTCTCACGTCGGGCTCTGCACAGACAGTGCAGAGCCTGCTTAGGGTTCTCTCTCTCTCTCTCTCTCTCTCTCTCTCTCTCTCTCTCTCACTCACTTTCTGCCCCTCACCTGTTCCTGCTCACTCTGTTTCTCTCAAAAGAAATAAATAAATGTAAAAACATAAATTTACGGCATCAAAACTATGATGCTCTGGAAGATTGGAATCATTTAGAATCTCTGTTAGGAGTAAGAGAAAAACTCTCCTTCTTCCCTGGATTTTCGGAATGGGATGGATATGGAAATGAGCCTTATACCAGTCATGCTCGGTAGTTGTGGACAGGGTAAGTCCACTGAAAGCTGTTGTCTTAAACCCCGTGTCTTTAGCCCAGATCCTCTAGAAGGCAGAGCCAGAGGCAAGGATTAAGATGCTAATGGTTAGCAAGGCCAGGACAGTGATGGTAAAGTAAAAAGAGGTGCAAGAAGCAAGAATTGTGACACAGAGTATTGGGAGATGTTAGCATTGCCGCTCGAGCTGGTTTTCACTCAATGACAACAAAAAACCAGCAGGTTGCTCTGCAGTATATTCATTCACCACATAGGATTTTCCAGAAGAGTTGTTAAGAGGAACTGCATCTCAGAGTAGTTCACGGCAGAGAGAAAGGAGGAGAATGATCATGTCTAACTTCCACTCATCACTTGCCACCAGCCCCCCCACCCCTTTGCTGGTATTCACTTCAAGGGCAGATACCTCTCCCACGTGCCCAGGTAGCATCATCCAGCCCACTGGAGGCCGCACAGAAACGCAGATACCATACTCTTCTGTGTAAAGTTTTAACGAGGCCCAAGAGTGGGAGAGCAACAGGGTTCAGGCAGTGGGCCAGCCAAAGAGGCAAGAAAGAGGTGGTTGAGTGGGTCTACGAGGGAGGGCACGGTTTCAAACCTGTTACAGAGTCACATGCTAACTGGGTATGCTTAAAAGATATCTTTGCCACTGGCCCACTGTGTGTGTGTGTGTGTGTGTGTGTGTGTGTGTGTGTGTGTGTTTAAAAATTATGAAGTAATTTTGGTTATGACATTTCTGATACAGTCAACAAAAGGAACAAGGGCTCACCGAGCGATAGGCATTAGCTAAGATACCTGGGCAGTGTGAGAAAATTTGGTCAAGATAATGCTGGGAGGTCAAGCTTTATGCATCCTCCTGGGCTCCAAAACAAGCAGCAGTAGAGGTTAAAAATAAGACACACTCATCCTCTGTGGGACTAGAAGTAGGAGAAATATAGTCATCCCTAGCGAACCTAAAAAAAAAAAAATTACTAAAGGAACTGTGTGTTTCTGCAGCAAACGTTTGTGATTCTCGTTTTGTTTTGGCTACCTAGAAGCTAAACACATTTCTTATTTTGAAGAAAACCAAATTTGTTGGGCATAGGATGCTCCCAGGAAGGCGGCTAATGCGAAGAGTTGTAATTTCTTCCCAATTCCTTCATGGCTAAGGCATGGTCATTGGGTCCTGACTTAGCCAGTTAGATGCTTCCACCTAGGACTTTGAATCTTGAGAGGGAACATAAAAGTGATGAGGCAGAGATTATTCCTGACATGAGTGGCAGAGACAAGACACCTGGGACACAGAGCAGGATCCCAGGTGCAAAAGCGTCATAAGTAGGTTCCATCGGTGACTGCGTGTTTTTGAAGGCCAGAAATGGAGCTGTTCCAT